TTAATTTTTATTGCTGGTATCTATAATGTCTTTGAACAAGAAATGCTTTTGATTCCCTGATCCATTCCTGTTTTTTTTCTTTCTGATAATATAATTTCAATGAAGAATGATTATTGTTATCCAAAATATCCTTTGAAAATAACTTCATTTGCTTGAAATATTATATTTTTTTATTGTAATTAATACTGGGTTTATATTTCTAACAGTTGACCGTTGTAAGGCAAAAGCTGATAGGCCAATGATGTAAATTCCTTGTTCAATACTAATAATGATGAACAGTTTCAGAGTTGCTAGTCTGTCTTTAAATCGTAAAGATACAGATTTAAGTGAGGGTTTTACAGGAGAGCTAAAATCCGATATGAATGCTAATGCCCCAAACATCTTACTATTAATGGTCAGTCTATATAGAATTATTAGATACCATCGCAGTTTCTTCGATATCCTTCTAAATAGCCATACAAGGATAATTACAGATAGTAAGACCTTGACAAAGCATTGAACTTCATATAGCTGACTATTACTGTTTTGGAAGCAGCTTAATTTGAAACATAAACATGCTTCTTTTGACAATATTGAATTTTCAATATACAGTAAAACGCTGAAAGGGGTACAGGGCTATAGAGAACAACAATTTTTAATATTCATTGTAAACCTAATACATGTAGGCTGTATCCAATATGTTTTAAAGCTGCGGGGAATGAAAATCACTTTGTCACAACTGTAAATTCATCATAAGCATGGTTGCTATAATCTTGTTTTAACTGTAATTGTAAATGTTTTGTTTAACAATCATAGTATGGTTTACAAGGAAAGGAAAGAACTTAAAAATCCATGCAGTACTTTTATGCATGGTACAACAAAAATTAATATTCACATCATCTAAAACAAATGTTGCCCTGGGTCCCTAAAGTCAGATTTGACATTATGTTCCTTAAAATAACTTTTATTAATTTGTTCTCTTAATTGTTATTATACCCCCGCAAACGAAAGGGGGGTATATAGGAATCACCTTGTCCATCTGTCCGTCCGTCCGTCTGTCTGTGCAAACGTGTCCGGTCCATATCTTTCTTACGGAGGGACATTAGAATCTACTACTCCACACAAAGATGCCCATGACCTAAGGGTGTGTCTGACCTTGCTCCAAGGTCATTTGGGGAACTTCAAGGTCACTGGAAGAAAAATTTCATAATTCGTGTCTGGTCCATATCTTTCTTATAGATAAACTTGGTAGGTTCTAATTTCACACAAAGATTGCCCATGACCTAAGGGTGTGTCTTGACCTTGACCCAAGGTCATTTGGGGAACTTCAAGGTCACTGGAAGAAAAATTTCATAATTCGTGTCCGGTCCACATCTTTTTTATGGATAAACTTGGTAGGTTCTCATTTCATGCAAAGATTGCCCATGACCCAAGGATGTGTCATGACCTTGACCCAAGGTCATTTGGGGAACTTCAAGGTCACTAAAAGAAAGATTTCATAATTCGTGTCCGGTCCATATCTTTCTTATGGATAATCTTGGTAGGTTCTCATTTCACATAAAGATTGCCCATGACCTAAGGGTGTTTTGTGACCTTGACCCAAGGTCATTTGGGGAAGTTCAAGGTCACTGGAAGAAAAATTTCATAATTTGTGTCTGGTCCTCATCTTTCTTATGGATAAATTTGGTAGTTTCTCATTTCACACAAAGATTGCCCATGACCTTAGGGTGTGTCATGACCTTGACCCAAGGTCATTTGGGGAATTTCAAGGTCACCTGAAGAAAAATTTCATAATTTGTGTCCGGTCCATATCTTTCTTATGGATAAATTTGGTAGGTTCTCATTTCACACAAAGATTGTCCATGACCTTAGGGTGTGTCAAGACCTTGACCCAAGGTCATTTGGGGAACTTCAAGGTCACTAAAAGAAAGATTTCATAATTCGTGTCCGGTCCATATCTTTCTTATGGATAATCTTGGTAGGTTCTCATTTCACATAAAGATTGCCCATGACCTAAGGGTGTTTTGTGACCTTGACCCAAGGTCATTTGGGGAAGTTCAAGGTCACTGGAAGAAAAATTTCATAATTTGTGTCTGGTCCTCATCTTTCTTATGGATAAATTTGGTAGTTTCTCATTTCACACAAAGATTGCCCATGACCTTAGGGTGTGTCATACCTTGACCCAAGGTCATTTGGGGAAGTTCAAGGTCACTGGAAGAAAAATTTCATAATTTGTGTCCGGTCCATATCTTTCTTATGAATAAATTTGGTAGGTTCTCATTTCACACAAAGATTGTCCATGACCTTAGGGTGTGTCAAGACCTTGACCCAAGGTCATTTGGGGAACTTCAAGGTCACTGGAAGTAAAATTCATAATTTGTGTCCGGTCCATATCTTTCTTTTGGATAAACTTGGTAGGTTCTCATTCCACACGAAGATTGCCCATGACCCAAGGGTTTGTCATGACCTTGACCCAAGGTCATTTGCAGAAGTTCAAGGTCACTGGAAGAAAACTTTCATAATTTGTTTCCGGTCAGTATCTTTCTTATGGATAAACTTGGTAGGTTCTCATTTCACACAAAGATTGCCCATGACCCAAGAGTGTGTCATGACCTTGACTCAATTTGATTTGGGGAACTTCAAGGTCACTGGAAGAAAAATTTCATAATTCATGTGTGATACGTCTTTATTATTGAAAAACTTACTTCTGAAAAATCCAGCGGGGGTATTTTGTCCCGTTTGGACAGTTCTAGTTTTGATATAGATATGTGATAAGTACTAGTACTTACTGTTATTGGTTGGAGGATTTTTAAGAACAAAGGCATTGCATGTAACTGTTTTAGATGGATTCTTTAATTGATCCCCTGAACACTTAGACTCAAAGAAATAACTTAGTAAATATGATTATGTAGCACAAATATAATGCTTTGAAGCAGATATGCATCTGATAAGTGCAAAAGTTGCATATGCATTGTAAACATTTAGTGACATTGCTTCAAGAATAAAAATTGATTATATTTATTGAACTTCAGTAAGATGGCACCACAAGTAAAAGTTAGGGCAGAATTATCGACTCTATACCGACAGTGAAGCAGTTGAAAATTATTTGTAAAATACCCTAGGGGCTGCGTTGTGTACTGGGAAAATTGATATTTACTATCATAAGTCTGCTGCCTAAAATGGTTATAAGTGATAAATGTGGCATATTACCACCGATTAATGCTTTAACACCTATAGTTATTATGTCGGAGTAGGGGGATCATTGATCTGTCACACTACAGGCTCCTGCAGGAGGTTAATTGTAATTAAGTCATGAATCATATCAGACTGTTTGCATTTGTTTGTGATACAGTTTGCTTTAATGTCTGTTTTCTAGGTCTCTTTAATATGCATTGGTAATGTAACTGTGGCAAATAATTGCCCCCCATTTTCACCACCGGGTTTTTTTGTCCCAGGTGACTCGAGAGAAAAAAATAAGCATTTGAATCGCGGAACACCTCAGTTAAATGTGGTTGTTATTAAAGGGAGCCATTATTTTAACAATTATGGGTATTGATTGAACACCATCATAATTCTTTCTGAGGTTCTTTGTAACACTGGGTTGTGGATGTCATTGGCACACTTTACCAAGTTGTTTGGTGATGCAAAAGGTCTTTGAAGACCGATGACATTCAATTGATTTTTGTGGAACACAAAGTTTTCCTGCTCCGCTTAATTCATGTTCAATTCTTTCCTACCTGCTTAAAAATTCTATCGGAAATTACAGTAATTAACTGTGTAGATGTACCCGAAATGAAAATTATTCATTGAACTGGCATTATTAATTAATTAATTTATGACTATGTCCTCTAAGGAGAAAAATGAGGCCAGGTGACAGACACCTGTGACAGTGTTATGGAGGACTGATTTTCCATCACACACTGTGCAGCAAAGAGAGTAAAAAGCTGCTTTTCACAGTTTGGTCATAGACTTTGATGTGTATACAACAGGTCAGGCTTCGGACTCTCTCATTGAATTTATTTACTTTTTAATGGAGATAACTAGACTTAGCCTGGCCAGATTGGAATGCCAGTGTCTATAAATGGAATTTGTCCACAATTTGTTGCTGTTGTGCCGCAATGATTGGAGGTGTGACTTGACACTGTGTTTTACTTTTGGAATCGTTGTGTCGTAATAATGGGACAGATGTGCTCCTGTACTAGAAGTGGACCCCAGCGGAGCGAGACTTTTCTTTTGCCCTATCTTAACAACAGTATTAATGTGAGTGGGATTTTAATGAAGGATGTTACTGTTTCAGTGTAGATTTCTGGACCCAAAAATTATTGTTCCAAGCTCCAAAAGGATTCCCTTGGAAGATCTTACAAGTGTAAACTCAACATGTGTAGGATAGAATATAATTATAATTGCTTTGAATTTTGCAAAACCTTTTTTTCAAACACCATGAAAAAAATTTTGGAATTTTTTTTCACATCTAAGTTCTTTTAGCAATCAGTTAATCACCAACTCTGATTCACTAAGTTAATTCAAAGTTTAACAAAATGTTCCTTTGATGCAGAAATCAGATTGAATAAGAGCTCAATCATGATTCAGAATTGAAAAAGAAAACAACCCAGACTTCAGTTAATAGATTTAACTTGTATATTTAGTTTTCCTTCAAGGGGTAGGGGGCAAAAGGACCATACCTAACTTTGAAACTATAACTCTTAATCTGATTTCAGTATAATTAAAGTAGCATAATAGAGTTATAGATGACAAAAATAGATGTGAACTGACAAGGGCAAGATACAAAGCATGTCTTTATAAAAGTTCCTTGTATCATTTTGTCAAAAACACCTTTTCTTTGCAGATCAACTGAAATAAGAAATTTCCATTCTGAAAGAAGGAAATAAAAAAAGATATACTTTGGTTTTGAATACAGGACTTCATAATTAAAAGAGTACAAATCCTTTGTATTTTGGTTTTTGTAGACAGATTTTAATCATTGAGAGTATATAGTCTGTCCTATTTTTATATATTTGAAGGTGAGCGAGGAGTGTAACATTTTACGTCTGAACCTTTCTGAAGCCCAGCATGAATGTGACCAAGCCAGACACGAGAGAAGCACCCTCCAGGTCAAAGTAGGAAACCTTGAGGAAACCATCAAAGTTAGTCAAAATTCGTAATTAATTTAATTAAACTCTTAATTTTTATTAAATTTATAGTTTTAAAATCTGTCTGATGACGAAAATTTATAAACTGCAGCAAATTATTTTAAGATGATGATATGTAATAGATTGGATTGGGTAGGGTTAGACTAAACAGCCAAATGATATGTATATCAATTGGACAAAAATGTCACAAATCATTTTTGGTTTGTCCAGAATACATAAAGTGTTCAAAGGCAGGTGCTAAAGAATACATCTTGACAATGAAAATCTCCTCATTGCATATGAAAGCCAAATAAAACAAGCTACAGTGAAGCTATTTAAGATCAGGAAACTTGTTCTTTCAAAAGAAATGTCAATAGCACTCAATTAACATTTATGTATTATTTTCTTTTTTTAAATGAAACCCACTCCAAATATAAACCAAATGCATACTGATACCACATGTGATAAAATAGAAAATCGTGATCTGCTATAAAAAAATAATTGGAAAGCTATTTTTATCACCACATTTATGTTATATGGCATAGATTTATCCACTAGGGCATCGGAGACAAGTTTTTATCTTGGTCTATCCTTTATTGAGTAGCTAGGTCATCAGAACTGCTCACAGACTTCTGGTATTTTTCAGCAGTCTAAACCTTCTCTATAGCCCTGTTGTAATGGGTTAGTACAAAAATGTATTTTGCTTCCTTGATAAGAATCTTCCATATCTTGCATATTCATGGGCTGCAGATCAGTTCATGGGAACAAAACACTATAAAAGGATTACTCTAATTTGAAGACAAATACTTCCTTGCTATTCTTAAAAAAATGGATCACCTTCATAGAAATGATAAAACAGAAGAAATGTTGAATATACAGAGATAACAAATGCAACTGTTATTTATGGTTTATTGAGACTCAAGTGATTAAGTTATAAAATTTATCATTGTCATATTGATTGACACATATGTAGAGATTGATAAGGAAGAAGTAAGGGTAGATAAACTGGTCAGAATTCAGTCACTAGGCTTGATATCTACTGATGTTATATAGAAATTGGATCCAGAAGAGGAATTCATCCATACTTGGAATGCACTCTTGTGTTCTCTTGAATGGTGTTTAAATGGCTTTTAATCAATTGAAATGACCGAACTCAAATTAGATCCTAAAAAGTCTTCCCAAAATATATTTATCTTTTGTGGAATTACGCAAATAGAAACCCACAACAAAGTAAAGAAATATATTACTAATTTTGAGCTTGTGATAATGTCAGCCATTCCTAAGGGAGGAGAAATGCATACTGCCATTACTTGAGGCTGTTTACACATGAGTAGATCGTCTGTACCTTTAGCCCTAATTATCGTTCATTTAAAACTCCTTAAAAGTGCTCCATTAATCCTTAGGCTTTCCGATACTTTGCTTTGATATTTCAGCCGGAAATATTAGCCTTTGTCAGCACATGTCTCGTAATTCCCCATTGTCTGGGTCTTTGGTTAATTTTAGAGTTGATAAAATTTGTCTTCTTTTCTTCGTTTCTTAGAATCTAAAGGAATCAGCGGATCGTCTACAGGAACTAGAAAATGAGCATCAGACAACACTACAGCAATTACACGACAAAAGTAATCAAATCAACTCATTACAACAGGTATGTAATAAAAAAATTACAGCAATTACATAACAAAAGTAATCAAATCCAGTCATTACAACAGGTATGTAATAAAAATATTACAGCAATTACACGACAAAAGTAATCAAATCAACTCATTACAACAGGTATGTAATAAAAAAACTACAGCAATTACATAACAAAAGTAATCAAATCCAGTCATTACAACAGGTATGTAATAAAAATATTACAGCAATTATACGACAAATGTAATCAAATCAACTCATTACAACAGGTATGTAGTAAAAATACTACAGAAATTACATATCAAACATAATCAAATGTATACATTACAACAGGTATGTAATAAACATATTACAGCAATTACATGACAAAAGTAATCAAATCAACTCATTACAACAGGTATGTAATAAAAATATTACAGTAATTACATAACAAAAGTAATCAAATCAACTCATTACAACAGGTATGTAATAAAAATATTACAGCAATTACATGACAAAAGTAATCAAATCAACTCATTACAACAGGTTTGTAATAAAAATATTACAGAAGTTACATAACAAAAGTAATCAAATCCACTCATTACAACAGGTATGTAATAAAAATATTACAGCAATTACATAACAAAAGTAATCACATGCAGTCATTACAACAGGTATGTAATAAAAATATTACAGCAATTACATAACAAAAGTAATCACATGCAGTCATTACAACGGGTATGTAATAAAAGTATTACAGCAATTACACGACAAAAGTAATCAAATCAACTCATTACAACAGGTATGTAATAAAAATATTACAGAAATTACATAGTAAATGTAATCAAATGTATACATTACAACAGGTATGTAATAAAAATATTACAGCAATTACTTAAGAAAAGTAATCAAATCCAGTCATTACAACAGGTATGTAATAAAATACTACAGCAATTACATAATAATCAAATCCAGTCATTACAACAATATGTAATAAATATATTACAGCAATTACATTACAAAATTAATCAAATCTACACATTACAACAGGTATGTAATATAAAATATTACAGCAACATTACATGACAAAAGTAGTGCAACACCAATTACAGTAAAATCACCAAACAATCATTAGTTGCTTAGCTTATATCCTGCATGCATGTTTAAAGATTTTAATCAAAGGATTCAAATATTCAATTTTGTATAAAAAAAAAAAAACAAGCCATAGATGCCAACTCATAAATTTACAAATATTAAACAATATGCTAGCAGGTTTCAGATAACTCAATACACAATGTTTCCTAGATTTCATGAATAATAAATAACCAGATTAATTGTCAGTGTTTGGTTTATGAAATTACAATTTGCTACATCGACGATTAAGCTTTGTCTCCGCTGCAGGTTATGAACAATTTCAGTTTAATGTTTGAATGTCATTAGTGGTCAAGAAGCCAGAGGAATTAAGATTTTTTGAGGAGGAAAGTGGTAATTTCATCTGATTTCTTCTTTATTGCAGGCTCAACAGGATGCCAAAGAGGAATATGATAAAGCCCTGCACTCTCTAAAGGTAATCAATAAACTTCTCTTAAATTTCATAAATATTCATGAGCCTGGTTACCACACTTTTCATCTTGTTCATGAATGTGTTTTACGAAAGGGATGAAAGCAGTATAATTCTGGTAATTGTAGTTTAACTCGGAATGTTTGAGATGGGTGATTTACTTTGCTTTAATTTTGTATTTGTGTACTTTCATATTCTGGTCAATAAATATTACTTTTATACTGTTGCATTTCTATGAAAATTCATAGTGGTTGATGTACAGTCACTGAATATTTCAGTTTTGATATCATAATAAAGTAACTTCATGGAAATTATATGAGAACTGATTTAATAAGAATAATGACTATTTTTTGAATACTCTATACTTAGTATGTACAGTGAAGTCACAATAGAGATCAGTGTTATTCTACATACCGTAAAACGTGTCATTTTTTATGACGAAGTGTAGTTAAGTTAACAATGTAATTCAAATTGATGGGTTTTGAAAATTATACAGTATGCTGTAAGTAATGAACTATCATACTGTTTGCTGTAAGCTTGTTTTGCTATATCTGTTTTAAATTCTATCTTTAAAGATGCTCCACTGTATTTGAGAGTCTAGGATAACTTTGATATTACATGGCAAATGACCTTTTGAACTTTCAGAGCCGTGTTACTGAACTTCAGCAAAAGTGTCATGAACAGGATGACAGGCATCAGGAACTGACACAAGAGCTGCAGACTCTGAGATCAGCAGCTGGCAAAAACAACTACAAACACCCACCCAATCACAGTCCATCTCATTATCAAGACTTAGCCAATCACAGCCCATCTCATCCAGCCAATCACAGTCCATCCAATCACAAAGATTCATCCAATCAAAAGAGTTCCCTAGTTCCCAATCATTTTCCAGTTAAAGGTCAGTACTTCATGAGGAAAGAAAATTTTATTCAAAAGTTATTCTTAGAAAGAGATAATTGACATTAAAAATAAATCCACAGACAATTTAATGATATGTCAATTTCTATTTTTAGAAAACTTCCAGCAATCAAATGCAGGGCCTCTGACAGAATCGTGTAGGTTTCCAGGAAATGATAATATTCAGGTGGACTCCACCAAGTCTCTAGACACAGGTATTAAAACTGTCCCTATATCGTAACTTCTCATGAAGTCTGCATTACCCAGGATAATGATTGTTTCTGGGCCTTTATGGAAATTGTACAATTAATTGTCATTATTGAGCTTTTATCTACACAGTTGTTGCTATCAAAATATTGGCTAACCTTTTAACATTATTACAAGGACTGACAGTGATTATCATTTTATGTCAGAAGCCAGATATATGACTATTGATAAGGACACAATTGTCAGTCTAGTGGTGTATTTTTATCATGATTAATTAAACAGCTTGGTATCTGTATTGCCTCGTTATAAATGTATCTGCAGTTCAATATAGAATTGCAAATTCTTAATCAGAAAAATATTAAATATAACTTCTGTACAGTATATATTTTTATTATACACTCTGCGGATGAATGTTATCTCAATCTGTGTATACATCAGTATTGATTCCCAATTAGTGTATGACCTGTCTTGCCTCTGGGTACAGTCAGTGCATGGTCCTTGAACCCCCATCATTTCATTGGGAGCCTGGCTTTTGCTTTCTATTGTCCTTCATCATCTACACCTTGAATGAATTCCACAAAATCATGATCCAAACTTAACATTCATTTTCTGAATCTGAGACACAAACACCCAATAAAAATTAATCCTTTCTTCTAATATTTCTGATTTTACATTATGAGTTATCTATCAAAATAAGATTGGATTAAAACATTTATTTTTAATACAATGTATATGTACTTTAAAAAGTCCATTTGAAATGATATTGTAATTTGGAAAGTTAAGCCAAAATATGGGAGGGGATGTATCAATATAGCCAGAGGTGTTAAAGATCAGTTGAAGAGATGGAGAATTTAAAACAAATTTAACAACCTTGTGGTTTGTAAATTCTGTACGTAGGTTTTGCTGATGATGAAGATTTAGACAATTCAAATAATCCGTCCCCTGACCAAGCCAAACCCCCAGGGGAATTTGAAGACCCAGAACTTTACGAAATTGCCAAAAAATTAAAAGAGCTGGAAGCTTCAGATTCTGAAGAGGATAATTTATGTGAAGGTGATTGGTCCTTTTCTGTTGTTTTTGTTTTTTGTTTATTTATTTTGGTCCATTTGTTTATTTATTTTTTATGACTTTTATTTGCCTTTTGCTTTTGGTAACAGAATTACAGCTTTTTATTAATTGTTGTGGTAGATTAAGCCTAATTGCTTTTTTAGTTCTAATTTTTGCACTGGTGGTGACAATTAATTTTTTTTAGTATATTGTGGTTTTTGATTGATCTACCTAACATCAATATCCCATAGATTTTTTTCTGAAATATAATTGCAGTGGAGAGCTTTCTTGAAATTTCTTGTCCACAGAAATGTAAACAAAGTGTAAAAAGATTCTAATTCCTCTAGAACTGCCCTAATGTTTCTACATCACATACAAGTATCAAACTAATATTGTCATCAATGTTCCTTTACTGTGTTTTATTGTAACTTAAATCATCTAACACATAACTAAACCACCTCCAGAATTAAGTGTATGAAATTTAACACTACATTCATGGCCTCCATTAACTTTTACATCTCATGACAAAGATGAAGAGATAGGAAAAGTTTTATACATCCATTAAGGTTATTACAATTTCTGCACATTAAAATCACCTCTATTACACCATTATCAATAGACTGTAGAAATCTGACAGTCGGACGATGGTGGACCGAGAGCTGAATCTGTTTCAGTGGCTCCTTACACGATGTTGTTGTCTTGTTTCAGATCGAGGGGAAGACTCTGGGATGGAAAGTCAGAAGGAGCAGAAGGTAAGGGCAGATAACTCCACTCTGTTTGGCATCATCTCATTGTAGCTCGATTCTAAATTTGGCAGTGTTAGTAATATGTTTCAAGGTGTTATCAGATACAATAAAATGCTGGATTTTAGAACTTTGTATGTACAACTGCATGATAAAAATGAAGAAATGAAATTAGACCCCTGAATTAGACATTTTTGCTTCATAGTGTGAAGGGTATTGCCATCTTCATTCAATAACCATTTCCCTTATTTGCCAGATTATTTTGACTGCTTTTATTTGATGTCATCATAATGAAAATGTTTTGATCTAGCAACTTTCATGTCATGAGAAGTTTGTTTACATCTCAGCAACAAGTTTAGCTACATTTGTGAAGTAATTAAGGGGGAAAATCTGTAAAATTTAATGTAAGAAATCCTTTGGGTGTATTCATATACAAACACAATAAAATTATGTTGTTGAAAAAGTTTATTGACCCGTAAAGGGCAGAAAAGGATGGTTCACTTTAATTTCTTCTCAGTGTTTGTTGACGTGAATTTGAAGAGTCATGATTTTGACAGCTTACAAAAGGACATTGTCATGAGAAGATTTTCATGAATCATTCTAAATCAGACTTTACTGATCTGAAAATCCATCCTACTATAATCTTTAAACAAAGAATTTGAAACAGCTTATTTTTCTGATAAAAATATTTTTTGCTGACAACAAAAGGTTATAGATTGTATATCTTCTTTTTAGATGCAAATAAATGCCATAGATGAAAACCGCTTATCCATCCTTGCAAAGAAAGGTCCCATTCAAGTGTTCCAAGCTAAATACTCCTACGACCCTATCCAGTATTCACCCAATGAGAATCCAGACGCTGAACTTCCAATCAACGCCGGGGACTATGTTCTGGTGTATGGAGAAATGGATGAGGTGGGCAGACAATTAGACATATAAAAGATATACCAACAAAACTTTTACATGATGAAAAGAGTTTCATTGTGTGTAATACTATCAGCAGGGTTGTTGTAGGACCTGAGAGCTGGGGAATTTACCTGCCTATAAGGATATAATCCCTTAGTTATTCTGGCATTGTCCCCCAGCCCATACTAGGGGGAAACACCACAGACACCCTTCAGCTTATAAAAAGTCCCTTTCTTTTTCAATTCTGAACTCTAGAATAGGATAGAGTCAAATGTGCTTGAGTCATAGCTTGCACACAGAGGCCTTCAGTATCTTAAATGCCTCGTTTTCCTGGTGGAAAATCTTTATTTCTTCTTCTGTTGTAAAGTTATTTTTCTTGAAGCTTAATCTTGGTCTTTAATTTTGTACAGGATGGTTTCTATGATGGGGAACTTCTGAATGGTAAAAGAGGACTTGTGCCTTCAAACTTCATAGAAAAAGTATCAGGTATGTAATGTAAATAATTATATGTATTAGTCTAGTGTACTTAGATTTGAAAAGAACTTGTGCCTTCAAACTTCATATGTAACTTAAATAAAAGTAGTCAGGTGAAAAGTGAAGTCTAGTGTAGCTAGATTTGAAAAGTTGGACAACAAATTTAACCGTGTACTCTCCAGCACTTGCTGTTCAGCTTGGCTTCTGTGTCTTAGTAAATTTAATACACAGAGATTGCATATCACTCATCAATAAGGGCTTATTATTTGCCAGCTTAATCTTTTATACCACATTCTGCTATGGAAAGACATCATTTTAAAAAAATAATCTCAGATGAAGATCTTGCTGAATTTCATGCTGCCATGTCGGATGCTAATCACCATGACGACGACAGTATCATTGGTAACAGCATACAACAGGACCTTGACTATGATAGCAGTGAGGACGTCGGGGCTAAGGGTGAGGGCATGATTGTATTGTAATATTTACCTGATGTGTCACTTACTTTAATAGTTCAAAGATAAGTCTTGTTGATTTGATTTTTTCTGAGATTTTGTGAACAGCTCAATAAAAATTGCTGTAAAGGGAATGTTTTTACTTTTCCTTTCCAATTATTTTTATATGATAGATTGACTTGGTGAATTAAAAAAAATGTTTGACAGCTATACATCACTATTTTGCAGATTTGCCTCTGAACAGCAATGAAATATTGATGGCTTCTGTGAAATTTTGACTTGTAGATTCTGACTGAAGATCGTGTTTTAAACTTATTTTCAGACTTGAGACGTAAATCAACAGATCTGAAGCCAACATCTGACAAACTTTTTCCACAAACAAACCAAAGCAGCAGTCGATCAAACAGCCGTCCAGCTAGTGACCATGGTAGTGATGTAGATGACCTTGACCTCTTAGACAGTAGTAAAGCCTTGACCTCGATCAAGGTACAGAGTCAGCCAGCAGATACAAGTGAGTGAAGATTTACATTCAGTAGATATTAATATTTTTAGGAAAAGATTTTTTGAAAAATTTATTCATATGACACCTTTGTAAAATGCAAGAAAAAAAGTATTTTTAAAAAAATTGTAGCTTTTAAAAATAAATTATATAAGTTATTGCCAATTTTCAATCAAAAAATTGGATGGAGGTAGAAAAATTAAAATAGAGTTTATGGAATTACAAAAATGAGCCAGAGGTTATTTTCACAGAATCATGCATTTCAGTGTTGCCATGTCCCAGAGAGCTGACCCTAGACAGACAGTTGACCAATAGTATTGTTATCAGCTGGAAGCCCCCGCTTGACCACAACAAACTGGATGTCAAGTCATATCATGTGTATGTTGATGGAGTGTTCAAATCCCTGGTGCGCAAAAATGAGAGAACGAAAGCACTACTGGAGAATGTAGACTCCAAGGAGGTAGGTTGAAATTTTACCATTTATTGACACAATTCTATAAAAATTGTACTTTCATTAGGCCAACAAAATTTAATCAATAGTTTCTAAGGCACTGCCGCATCAGTTCAAAAATGGCGGCATTGATCAATTTTATTGACATTGAAAAGGGAAGTAACTCAATTTTCTATTTTTCCAAGTTTAAAAAGAAAACTTAGTTATTCCCCTTTTCATAAATGCTTAGATAAGCGTTTTTATTAGAAAAATAATATATTTCTTCTAAATTTACAATATTTTACGAATTAACTGTTAAATAAATGTTTGGAATAACATTATTTAAAGTTGAATACATATTATAACTAATTTCAGCGAACAAAAATTAAGAATTAGTAGATATCATTTTATTGAAAAAAATGGCTTTAAAAAGGTGTAAAACCTGCTTCAAAAAAAAAAGTCTGCTTGCCGCATTGAATTTTAAATTTTTTGGCCTGAGAAACTATTGATTAATTTTTTTTGGCCTTACAAATGAGTTATTTATTATTGGTTCTGTATTATGTGTACAAAACAAAGAAGATAAAGAGGAATGAATTGATGCATTCTATCCATTTTTTTTGCGATTGGAGGTACACTGTATTTGTCCAATACAGCACCCATTATGCATAGTAAATTTCTAAAAATCATTTTTTATTAAATTTTCTGAGGCAAAAGAGTAAAAATTCAATAAGAGTGGGGTAATTATTAGGATATGGTATTGCATTTTCGTGTCATAGCTCTCTGAGTCTCATATTTTGATTTGACTAAATCTACTGCTATTTTGTTACAGGTCCATAGAGTCAGTGTTCGATGTAACTCCAACATGGGCCAGTCAGCAGACAGTCAGTGTACCATGCTGGTGGGCAAAGGTCAGTCTAATTACCCTATAGATACCCATATACAGCTAGTCAAGGACGTGCACTATAGCACAGCAAGTTTTCTGTTACGTAATTCATCATATTAATTTTATTGGCATAATTAACCTTTCACATAGACTTTTTTTATTTCTTCAAAATCAATTTCAAACTTTTTAATAAAATAAAGCTTATCTGTCAATCAGCAATTTCTGGAGCAGTTAATGGTGACATTTTTAAGGGCTTCAGCTTGTATTTTCTTCTAAGAAAATAACAGCAAAACTTTCACATTTCAAAAATAAATACTGTATAAGTGGAAATTTTAGCGAGACGCAAATTTAGCGATTTGTCCTTAAAAACTGGTAATTTAATTTTAGCGAGATGTTATTTTAGCGATTTTAAAATGCACATTCAAGGAGCTATTACAAATAAAACGCAATTAATTTTTAGCGATATTCAATTTTAGCGATCTCGGCACCCTCGCTAATAATGCCAAAATTAAATCCTCGCTAAAAATTCTACTTATACGGTATGTGATAATAGCATTCTATTTTATGAAATGTTAATTCTATAACACCATATTGTTGTACTGTTTATAACCTCTGCTTGAACAAAATGATACTTTGTGCTTTTTAGCTGTGTTTATAACCAGCACTGTAAAACTCTGTCCTCCACTGAATTTCACCTGATTCTGGCCTTCATCTACCTTGAACCTTTTTCATTACCTTGTCTAGATGCCGATCCTGCTCCTAGCGACCTGAAAGTTAGCGAAATTACTTCTAACTCCGCCCAAATCTCGTGGTTACCGGGTAACAGTAACTTAAGCCACACCCTAAGTGTTAATGGACGAGAGGTTCAAGTAGTCAAGCCAGGGCTATGTGTTCATACACTGACAGGTAGCAACCATATACTGACAGTTCAGGTTTACGTGATATGTCCTAAGTTTTGTGTGAATTATAAGTGGGTTTAGGAAAGATATACATGTTTCAGCTTCCAAGCTAACAATGAAAATGATGACGAAGTATTCAGTTTAACTATTAAGGGATTAAAAAATCCCTAATTTAATAGTTTTTGAAATTTGGTCCTTTTCCCTTATTTATTTATCCTACCATGCTAGAAATGTAAGAGAATACGAATAAATGCTTTTTTGCAAATCTGATTATTAATAAAGTTAGTCAATTTTACATGTATCTTACCAATACTTCTTAAAATTGTGGCTGTTATGTTATTTATATTGTATGCTAGAATTTTTTTATAGCAAAAATACATTATTCCAAAATAAGCCTTCTTTTTTACTTTAATCTTCTTGTAATGTCTTAAAATGGAATAACTGATAAAATGGTATTTGGAAACCCAAGTGTATATTGTTCTTTGCATTCCTTAATGTCTTTGAAAAGAAATAACAAATTAATGAGAATTACGTACATGCCATATTATGCTCACCCTCAAATCTATAAACCTATAAAATTTAAACTAGCAGTCATTTGTGACAAACTGAATCTGTTCTATCCACTGCATGAGTCTTTGTCATACGACACAAATGCATGCAGTGCAATTTGTTGAAATAGGTTCTAAGCCTTGGTAGAATTAACTGACCTGTCTTGTGATTGTAGGGCTGGCCCCTGGTTCAGAACACAAAGTATCGGTCACTGCTGAAAGTCTGTCCACTAACAGGAAGAACCACTTGTCAGCATTTGTCGTCTTCAAAACGGCCTCCGGAGGTTTGTATTTATCCAACAAACACAATTTCTTTAAATGTCAATGCATATTAAAATGTCATTTAAGAATTTTAAACCAAGGATTAGTATTTACATTGAGCAGACAATTACAATCCATAGCAATGAATACGTATTCATAAAACATTTGAAATAGAAATTATTTTGAAATCTGAAATACAACAATTTTGGGTCTGTCTGGAGTTTGTTGATTTTCTTAATAAGCTGAAAAAGTAAAATGGGGGAAAAAATATTATCTTAAGTTACTTTGCAATACTGTAGGATGTTTTTTTGTAAATATTTCTTCTGCCTCTTTAGGTGTCCCAGAGCCCCCATTAAATGTCCAAGTAGAGGCAGGACCACAAGAGGGCACACTGCTGTTGACATGGATACCGGTTACCATAGATTCCTCTGGTTTCTCCAATGGTGCAGTGGTAACTGGTTATGTGGTGTATGCAGATGGTAGAAGAGTTAAAGATGCACAAGGTCCAACAAGTAAGTGTGGAGTGGGTGTCACTTATGTACTGCTTGGAGTATAAAACACAAAAAAATACAGTACTATGATGTTTAACTGAAGGGGGAGGGGTGCTTCTTACAACATAAAAGCTATTTTATATACATGTAAATTCATTATTCAGACATTATATGTTTTTAAAATCAATGCCATAAATAATGTATTAGTAAATGTAGTTTGTTTCTCCCTTATTTCTCAGATTGATATGTTAAATTTATTAGTACTTGGCAGCAAATTTTATTCTTTCTTTCAGATGACCACATCATTCTCAGTGCTGATGATTTCCAAGCCTTCATTCCTAAACAGCTGTTGGTCCGTACAGTGACTGTGGACAAAACGGAATCTTCTAACTCGGACCCAATCAAACTACCCCACTCACTCATACAGGAGATCACAGATGGGGCTGCCAAAAGGGTGACCAAGGACACGCCCACTAAACAAACAGTCCAGGTATAGGGAACTTTTTTCTGTGTTGAAAAAAATCAAAGCCAAGTTTTAAAGTGTTCTGATTTAAAAATTATTGTTAAATTGAATCAAGAAGTATTTTATAGATTTATAGTTAAAACCATAAAAGAGAGGAAAATCTCCAAAACTGATTTTATTTCTAAAATTGTATTTTATGCAAAATTAATTATAGATTCAGTAATTGTGAAATACAGTAAAACATGGTTGCAGAGAACATCCTTATTATGAATTCATGCGAACAGGGAGGTGGTTTACATGTATGACAAATTTTGTTTAAAGCAAATAAAAATTTTGCATCCTAAAAGTGATACAGGCTATGTTTTACTGTAAAAACCTCTTCTGAAAAGTGTCCACATTTCTCAGAATTTATATGTAATATGCCTTAAGCATGTCAAAATGAAACTTTTTATCTGCATGACGGTAAAAACGAAATGGTTCCATTTTTTGGCATTTGCCCCTGATTTCTGAAAATATTTTTAGACCTCAATGCCCCTAAACTCAATTGTACCAGAAACTTCTGAGGGAGACGAAGACATTGATACTGTCATAAATCGCATCGCTGCCGAAGCAGAGCGCAACATGGTAACTATGTCAACCCATTTCTGCCAGAAATTTTTATGTGCACAGCTTGCTACACGAGCCTATCTCCTCTCTCCTCACTGTCCGTTTGATTTTGTTCTTTTCAGCTCCATTATATTTTGTTTCACAATTAAATACTACCACACAAATTCCAACTCTAAAATTGGTACATGGCACTGGATAATGGCAGTCACTTATAGTTATGTAGGTCATTTATAAACCTGTTAAGGACTTCAAAATAAACAAGGAATATGCAATTTCAATGTATGTCAGTACCTAAAAATGTAAACAACCCTTTGGATAATTTATATGCATTTGAAATGACACTGACAAGGAATCAAAATAAAAAAAAAAAATAATAAGTTATTCACAGTTACTCTTGATCAGTTTGCCTTTTAAACTTTTATTAAAGAATACTGGATAATTAAAATTAAATCATTGATTGCTTAAGATCTGCAAAAGAGTTTACCTTATCTTACTGTTATTTTTCTTACAAACTTGGGTTCATTTTGTTGTTTCTTTTCCAAAAAGATATTTTTGTTGGTGTACTTTTGCATGTATCTGTCTCACTTGTTAACACGAAGAAAGCCACACTAACAATGGTACTAATTCCTTAAACTATAAATTCTATGAAAAAAAATAAATAATCCCATTAGTGGTGGAAAATTATCATCTAATTTTTGTAACAATATATCTGAGGGATATTGATTTTTGAATTTTTAATAACAAATATATGGGCAAGATAATTTTTAAGGTCAATAGGTCAAAGTTTTTGGATATTGCCATAAAGAATACATATATTTAAAATATCGCAGTTGTGACCAAGGTTAATTTTTAAAATAAAATATGGCATGCAATATGTCTTCTCACAAGGATTTTAATTTAGCCCTTATATAAAAATTATGGTCAAGTTTAAAGTTTTTTTTAGAAGTACTTAAATCTCCAAGGTCAAGGTCCAAAGGTCAAAGTTGTTGGTATCCAATGAAAGGTGTTGCCTCAAAGAATACATGTGTGAAATATAAAAGTCCTTGTATCTACCGTTCAAAAGTTGTGACCAAGGTTATAATTTTTAAAAAGTAGTTAAAACTCCAAGGTCAAGGTCAAAAGGTCAAAGTTCTTGGTATCCAGTGAAAGGTTTTCTTACAAGAATAAAATATTTGAAGTATAAAAGCCGTAGCCCTTACCGTTCAAAAATTATGGTCAAGGATATAGTTTTTTCATAAGTACGTAAATTTCCAAGGTCAAGGTCAAAAGGTCAAAGTTGTTGGTATTCATTGAAAGGTCTTGTCACGAAGAATAAATATGTGAAATATGAAAGTCCTAGTATCTACCATTCAAAAGTTACAAAGTAAAAGTTTGGAATAGTAAAAGTAGTTGAAACTCCAAGGTCAAGGTCAAAAGGTCAAATTTGATAGGTCTTATCACAAGGAATACACATATGAAATATGAAAATTATAGCTCCACTAAATCAAAAGTTCAAGGTTAAAGTTTTTGTGACGGACGGACAGACTGACGGACCGACGGACAGACAGACGGACCGACGGACAGACGAATGAGATTTAATGTCCCCTCGCTTTCGCGAAAGCGGGGGACAATATGATATACTTATTTAATTTCCATATTTATCAATGAAAAAAAAATAAGTATACACAACATGGTGTATGTTTCTTATATGTCTTTAACCTTGGGAGACTGAAATAAGCATAGCTAGGAGAACATAAATCAATATATGAAATTATCATTAAATACAGAATACTTGGATAATATACAAAGTGTTAGGTCTCTACTAACAGTTTATCTGAATTTGTATTTTTGAGCTTGTGCACATTTAAAATCTTTCTTAATCTTCACACATTTTAAAATTTTTTATTGTGATTGTTTTCTATTTAAAAACCTTTTTATAAATATATTAATAGTTAATTTATTGCTCTTTTAACAAAATTGCTGTAAATTTATTATTTTTAATGAAATTAGCAGTGAATTCTATGTACTTTACTTTATATCTACAAATAATAATTGAAATGCTTCAAGCTTTGATCAATAACAAGCATGGTAAATAACACTGGTTCATCTAACAATATGCATGGTCTCTCCAATTGGTCTGGGCACCAAAGATTGTGCTGGAGCCAAAAAAAAATCTTCATGCAGATCATAGAAAAATCATAGATCTGTACATCAGGCTGTAAGTTATTTTCGTAAGAAAAGGCAAGATCCAGCACATTCTTTGCTAACTAGGACCACCTGTTTCGATTTAACAGAGTCCAGTGCTGGACAATATCGAATACGAGGATGATTTTATCGAGGGCAGCAGCACCTCGGAGCTTTCTGACATTCCCGAAGAGGTGGAGGAGGAATTTTCCGAGGAGGTCCCCCAGGGGCCTCCCACTAAACTCAGCCCTCAGCTACTTAATGGTCATGCATCACTTGGCAAGGTTAGACACACAGAGTGTGAACCGAGTGCACCCTTGTACTAATGCATCATGGAAGAATAAAGACAGTAGATGTCGTTTGGTGGTAGATTTTTTATAACAGGCATTTTTTGGTGAATTGTGGTAGAGCTAATATTTGATTTTGATAATGCTGTTGAATGATGTGGTGTTGAACTGTGTGAAGTTTTTTTTCTTTCTCTTGAATATGAAACAAGATTTTATTCTTAACTAGCTGATGCGTGCAGTATAAATGTTTTAAAAGATACTTCAAAAATTGAATACATGTATTTGAATTTTTAAATTCAACTAAAAAATATATTTCTCTTGGTGGATTTTAATTAGTCCATATAACAAATAACACTACATATCTGTAAAAGAAAAACAGGAAATCAGTAGCATGTATAATATAGTGCCCCCCACCCCCACACAGCCCCCCACAAATCAGTACAGTTATGTTTTCACTGTCCCTGCCTCCACTTATCTTGCCTGATCATTGTATCTGTATATTTTATGTATAGCAATTCGCTGAGTGCTTGTGTGGTCATTAGTTTTATTGTACAGATATTATGTCTGCATAAAATGATTTTGAAAATAATTTTAGACATTGCAAACAATTTTTTTTAAAACTTAAGTCTTTCATATAATTTTAAGAGCAGAATATGCATAAGAATAGTTGCTGTACCTAAAAAAAAAAAATGAAAATTTTAAACCAAGAACCTTAATTTCATTTCTTGTGAAACCAACATTACCGGTAAATCATGTTTTAATCAATTACAAAATCCTTTAATAGAATTCAGGTGCAAAGGCACTTACTGCATCCACACCTCTCAGATCTAGTGAAGCGTCGCCAAGGCAAACAAGGTCATCTCCAAGGATACCAGCTATTGGTATGTATTAATAGATTTGACGATATTTTTTTTAACTTTTCAACAGAAATTTTATATCAAAATGTGATTAAGGTTCCTTGTGTTATGCCTAATATGTGAAACGAATACATTGTACATATTAAAAGTGATACAGACGAAAGTTACTTTGAAAAAGAAAATGGATCTGATTTTTCAGAAATAACAAGAGACAGTGGCAGTGAGCGAGGGAATTCTGTAGATATATCAGAAGAGGAGTTAGACATTTCTAAAACTCCAGTAAAAACAAAGAGAACAGTGCCCCATGTTCAGGATAGTGTTAAAGGCTCACATAGAAATATTTCCCCCGCCTCCACAAGTGCCAGTGTGTCTCCGAGTGAGGAGGTGGTTAGTAATGGACACCATTCAAGACATTCCCGCGAGGCTTCCCCTCAAAGGGACGGTCATGTGACTAGTGACCTACAATACAAAAATGACAAAAATACCTCCCATCACACCGCCCCAGATCCGCGACGGAGACTTTATCCAGAAAGTCATGTGACTCATAAAAACGGTGACAGTTCACATCCGGAACACGGACCCGTCAAACCTCACAGGAGGAGTCCAGGTCTCGGAAGTCCGCGGAATAGTCCTCAGAGGGCAAGTCCGCGGAGGGTCAGTCCTCAAGGAGTTCATAGTCCTCACAAGGATTTAACGGACAGCAAGACTTACAGTGATTCTAATGCTAATGATGTGTCGCAGGGATCCACCATTTCTGACGGGAGGCTGGATAATAGCGGTGTTCATCACGTTCCACAGCTGGATCTGTCCGACTGTGACGACAGTGGAGATGTGGATTCTATTAGTGGAGAAATTAATCCACCCATCGAGGACAATCGGATTAGATTGTTTGTGGCTTTGTTTGACTATGATCCGGAAAGCATGTCACCTAATGTTGAGTGTTTGGATGAGGAACTACCCTTCAAAGAAGGGCAGATCATCAAGGTAATGAGAATGTTTTAATTTAACTATGTAATGATTAGTTAATTACTGCAAAAAAATGCTATGAATGTCTTTTTTTCAGAGGCAGAACAAAAATCTCCCTGATATCACTTCATTTGTCATTGACCTTTACACAAGCTTTTGTAGAATAGTCTGCATACTGAGTGTACTCACTTAAATTTTAGAACCTAATTCTATAGCTCTCACCTGCTTACCTGTTCATGTATATATTTATTTATTGAATATATTTCTTGATTTCCCTTGGGTCAGTGACTGATCAAACAAGTCTTCTCACCTTTTTCTTGAATGTATAAAATATCAGCACATATTTACATGTATATAGACTACAACTAATTATTTGTCAACTGATTTAATGAAATGTTACTTGGCATTGAAAATTTTAAAAAACAAAATTACAAAAGAAAATCTTCAGAAAAATAATTCATATAGGTATTTTATGATGAAATGAAACATGAACTTAACAAACTTGTAAATTTAAATGATTTTTTTTTTTTTACTAAAGACTTGAGTTTTTTCTTCTTTGTTAAAGATTTATGGTGATAAGGATGCTGATGGTTTTTACCGCGGTGAGAGTAACGGCCGAGTCGGCTTTGTCCCATGTAACATGGTGTCAGAGGTCCAAGTTGAGGACACGGAACTGGCGGAACAATTACTCAAGGAGTCGCAAACCGGCTACAATCCCAGCATGCAGTTATCCAGTAAGTGAAATTCACATCTGTCTTAGCTTCAGCCTTTTGAATGAAGGAGGGAATTTTTTCTTCTGATCTTTATTTTGTATTTGTACAAATGAAGTCCTTTCAACTTGTTTCCTGTTCATGAAAATTAATTTCTACTAGGCTATAAAATGAATTTTTGAAAAAAGCATTTGTCCTTTTTCCAAATACAGTCTTAAAAACCTGTCTAGTGGTTTAATAAAATTTTATCTTTACCTTTTTGCAGCCGATAACTACACGAAGCCCACGGAGCTTGGGTCTAGATTGAGTCCGGCCAAAGTCTCCACAGTGACGTCCAGCACGCAGGCTAGAAAAATGGTGGCACTGTACGACTACGATCCACAGGAACTGTCTCCAAATGTCGATGCTGAGGTAAAGATCTGTGACAGTAGCAAAAGTCAGTAGAATCAAAAGATTGTTGCTAAGAATCATCTGATCTAGTGATTGCTAGAATTTATCTCTTGAAGGTATCAAATGAAAGATTGAATTGATGATACATTGTTATTTACATGCATTAGTTACACAGCACATGTATGTACACTGTATGTAAAAGAAGTTTGACATTTTTCAATGCAGGAAAAAAATTCATTTCACTGAAAGTAAAATTATTCCTTATGTAATTATTTATGAAAATTAGAGCTAATTATTCCCTATTTAATTATTCTGTAAAATTTGTAGCTGGAACTGGCCTTCAGAAGTGGTGACACAATCATGATTTACGGCGACATGGATGATGACGGCTTCTACATGGGGGAGCGTAACGGTCACCGGGGACTTGTCCCCTCCAACTTCCTACAGGAGGCCCCCCTAAGTGACGACGAGGTCCTCGAGAGTGCCAGCATTGTCTCCCCTGCCAGGTCAGGCGAGAGTCTCAGTAATATGTCGCGGCACTCTGACCTCGCGCCGGACAAAGTAGGTGGTGCTGTGTCGACATAGGCATGCATGTGTGGAAACTCACCTTTTGTGTTCAGTTCAAACTCCATAACTCCTTTACTCTGCAAAAGTGATTTTTTTTTTTTATTTATAAAGATTTTTTTTATTTATTTTTTGCTACTTCCTATATCTTTATTTTTTGTTTGCTTTAACTATTGTATGGAATTAAGAAAGCATTTTATTTTTTAAAAAAATTGAATTTATTTTTATTTGCAAATTAATTTTCAACATAATCCTGATTGAAGTGAATGATATTAATGAACTGCATAACTTTTTAAAAAGCTTGAAAATAACTATGATTTGAATCTAATGTATGTTGATAATTTTAATCATAAACTGATTTAATATAAAAGCACAATGTGTTCTTATTATCCTCAAGAGAGATGGGAGATAACTCCGATCTGACTGCATTCACTTCCACCTAGATCTTCCAATGAGGATGTAGTTTTGCTGTAACTTTAGGCTTCCCACAATACACTTGCATGCTGTGTAGTACAGAACCAGTCGTGGATATCGTCACACTCTGCTTTGTCAGAGGAGTGAATGCTCTCGTTCGGAATATTAAATTTACGTGGCCACTCATCCAAACTTTTTTCTTCTTTTAACAGAGATGTCGGAAAAAGTGGTTTGTAAACAGTTGAGCCAATATTGCAATTCACTCATTTTTATATATTTTTAGTTATCACACTTTTTTATCATGATCAAAACTTGTTTTGATCTCTTTTAGTGCACCATATAAGTGTAGTGCTCACACTTGATCTGTTCTTTATATTCCTTTACAGAGCATTTTCTCCTCAAAATGAGGGTTAGTTTTTTTTTTTTTTTGTATAAAAGCTTCGTTTGATTTCTTTCATTTCAGGGAAAGAAATATATGAAGCTTGTCAATTTTTTTTTTTTTTGTGATTGCCAAATTCTGTAATGTTTTTAAGTTTGGGAGTGTTGTTAAGTTTTGTGTGTGTGAAAGAAAAAGAGATTTATTTTTTAAGCTTGCAAAAATATTTTTGTTGTTATTTATTATAAATATTGAAATTAAGGCAAAAGAAGAGTGGTGTCATTCTTGATTGAATTTTAAGTCTCATATTCAGTGACTGCTTTCTCTTCTGCATTGCCAGAATGCTTTAATTAGATTTGCTAGTAAAGTATATATTTTCAGATAAAAAAGTATAATCACAATGACTCTTATTTGTAACTGAGAAATGTTCAGTATAGATAATAAGTTAAAAAATAAACTTTGGAAGTTAAAGATTTAAAAAGTTAAAAGTCTCCTCACACTTAAATTGCTTTTGTAGACAGTCTGAGTTTGACATGCACACAGATGTCATCTCACTATAGCATAACACAGATTTATTTAAAGAGGGTTGCAAACTTTTAAAAAGTGTTCATTTTTTCTTTACATTGAATGGGTCACTTTGAATTTTTTTTCGTCGAAGATTTTCAATTTTATCACTCAGTAATAGAAAAATAAATCAGGTTCTTGGTAAAGAATTTTTATGGTTGACATATATTTTGATATTTTTTGCACAAAAAATAGCAATAGGTGTTTTTGTACAAGTTCACTTTGGGTACATACAAAATATTTTTCAGCACTATAGGTATATATTAATAATCAGGTACAACAAAGAGGTTTATAATGCAAAGATTATTTAGTAAGTTTAATCAATGTCTACATTCTAAACAAAAATTAAAACTTGCTCTAGCAAATGTTAAAGTCAGACTTAATTTTAGAAATATGTTAATGACTTAGCATGGATATTTTTTGTGTTAATTGCCCTACATATTTGTTAATGCACTGTACTTGGCAAATAATAGATTTTAACTCTCAAATACTTGCAGACGCAGAAAGTGGGACCTGGCACACAACTGGACCAACAGTTATCACATGATACAGTGAATTCAGTAGCCAATCAGAATCTCCCTCCATCGGAACAGAGGCCCTCGTCTCCCGAGGACGTCAAGCATAAAAAGAAGAGTTCTAGTCTGTTATCCAAGGGCAAAAATATATTTAAAAAACTCACTCGATGAGGATCACTGATGCTCCCTGCCAGAAAAATTAGCTTGTGTTATCATTAAATCGTCCAATCCCAGAAAAGTGTGTGCAGATTCTTTGACACTGATTAATTGTAGTCAAGTGTATGAAAAAAAAAAAACAACTTCAGATTAAGTGCCATTTATTTGCTGAATAAGACATGTGTGACATACATGTATTAGACTAGGTGAAAAGAATCGCCATGGAAAGAACTTGTCTCAGGAATTAGAACTTCTTCTTTCTTTTTCAGCCAGTAGTTGTTATGCCAGCAATATTGCTTTAATACTAAGTATCAAGGACAGAGATATTACCCACAAATTTTTCTTGCATTTTGTGTTAATTTAAACATCCTTGTATTTCTTTGTCCTGTGACAGATAGTCATGTGAAAGGAAGTAGCTATCTTGAATCATGTGACTGCATGGTTGTGAATTTTTTGTTTTAGTGAGTTATGCTAATAGAAAAAGTATGCTTGTTTTTGTAAAGCCAAAGAGTGAGTGAAAAATGTACCAGGGGAGAGAAATCTTGGGTTTCTTGCCAGTTCTTGATGTGTTTATAAATGTTTGCATGTGCTATATGTGTAATCAAAAAAATGCTGCCATAATATTTTTACTACAAGGAAGGAGTATGCTGCATTTTTTATGTGTAATGATGTTAGAAAGTAAAAGACTTTATTTTACAGTGTTTTGTTATGATGTGAAATGTCTGTGATAATCAGTTATTGACTTGTAAAGGTATTACATATTTAAAAAAATACCACATTCCAAAAATCAGATATTTACTGTGTATTCCAAGTTAAACAAAATTCCATGCTGTTATAGATATTTTTAATGCAATATTTGATAGATAAAGTCCTTTCCAGGTTTATAGTTGGAAAAAAAGTAACCAAAGTTTATCTTTGGTATTATGATTAATAGGTGCATATGATTTATGTTTTAATGCTGGACAAGGAAAAACTGGAATTGTTCCCATACTCTGTTTACTAGGTGCTATTGTGTGTTGTGATATATAAGAGTAATCCAATCTGTGCCTATCTAGGTATCATACTACATGTAATTAAGTTAATTAGATAAAATTCATTATGTCTGATGTCACGAAATGATTTTTTTATTTCCAAACATTTTTTTTTTTCCATTATTTATAGCCAGCATACAGAGAAAGATTTGATACTTCAAACAAAAGTCAGTCAGGAAATGAGCAGGATAAAATACTAACTGGATTTTTTTTTTTTATATTTAAAGATAAATTTAATTTGCAGAGAAATTAATGTGGAGAATAAATCTATATTGTAAACACTACATCCTTCAATAAAATAGAATCTCATTATATACACTGAACACGGTCATTTCATATGATTTCCATGAAACTACAGATTAGGTCAATCTAAGTACTTTGTTTTTCAGACATTCTTGATATTATACACAGGGCCTCTTGTGTTGTTGAGGCAGACCTTATTTATTTATATAGAAATATGTATGATATTGTACAACATCCAGTGTATTTATTGTTAAGTTTTTGTATGAAATAGGACGATATGTGATGTGATTTCAGAATAAATTATTTTTTGCAAGTATATCAAGTATTCCTTTGCTCAATGCCATTTTGAGTGCCTTCTTATCTGTGTCTTCAATGTTCTTACTTGAAACAAGATGTGTTAAAACACTTATGCTACTGTATTAGGGCCTGTGACAAAGGTTCAAGTGTCTCAGATGCAAGTTTAACTCCAAGGTCTAGGTCAAGACAATCTAATTAAAATTATATGTTAGATCCGCTCGCATACTCACTACACTTAACATCTAACAACATCCCATAGAGGGTCACGTCAGAGGTCAAATACGGAAGAACTCTAGACTTATTCGTTTCAACAAATATACAATGTACAATGATTTTGCAGGTGACAATTTGATTGTTTGGTAGAATTTGACCTCTGACGTGACCCTCTAAAAAGTCAAGGTAAAAAATATTTGAACCCAAGGATAGGTCTTGCCATATGTGAAGTCTAAACTCATACGTTACATGTACATGTTAGTGTAGGAGTATGCAAGGGGATCTAACATCTAATTTTAATTAAATTGAGGTATAGAGATCAAAAATGTTGTATAAGTATCAGTGAATTAAGCACTTGCATATGAAAGCTTAAGACCAAACCGTTCAAAAGTTATGGTCAAGTTTTTAAAAAGTGGGTCAAACTTCAAGGTCAAAGGTTAAAAATCAGTGATCATAGGGAAAGGATTTGTCACAAAAATTATGTGAAATATAAAAGCCCTAGCACCAAATGTTCAATACATATGGTGAAAGTTAATTAAACAAAATAGGTCAAAGGCCAAGGTCAAATCTACGAAATTGTTGGTATCCAGAGGAAGTTCTTGCACAAGAAATATACCTGTCAAATACTCAGTATGAAAACCCTTGCTCAAAAGTTAAGGCCAAGGTTAAAGATTTTTTAAACTGGGTCAGATTCTAAAAAGTCAAGGTAAAAAATATTTGAACCCAAGGATAGGTCTTGCCACATTAATTACATATATGAAGAATGAAAGCACTAGAACTGCATAAAAGTTAAGGCCAGGATTATTTATAAATTATGGTTTTTTTTTTTACAAAAGTATGTCAAACTTCAAGGTCAAGAGGTCAAATATATTCAAACCCAGAGGAAGATATTGTCACAAGCTATAGACTATGAAATATGTTAGACATAGCTCCAACCAATCAAAAGTTACGGATAGGGTTAAAGTATTTTGCAGACAAACAGATAGACAGACAGACAGGACACAAACTACAAGTATATACATGTAACCGAATTTTCAATTATGTGGGCATAAAAAATTGTCTTCGGTTTAAATGAAAACTTCAAAAAATTCTGTTTTAACTGCATGAGGACGAGTAATAGAAAATTAATATGTTGAACTACTTGGTGAGATGTTTGACCAGTGTAACTTTTCGTTACTTAATTTGCATTGGTTGGTATATAAGGAAATTTATTTGCATTATGGGTAAAAAAAAAATCGTTACCTGAATCTCAAACATCAAAATCCTTACAGTATCGGTAAAAAAAAACTTGTTTTAAAAGAATTGCAATTGACAAGTAAAACATTTATTGACTGGATTCTTCGGTAAAATGCAATTTGCCACAAGCTGTTGCTTTTGGCCCTGTAGCCTTAGATAAACAGTTTGATGAGTAGGTCGGATTATTTGGGTTTCCAGCATATGGCAGTTATGATATTTTATGCCAGGCTATTCATTTGAAAATCCTTGTGAGCAGGGGTGAATTTTTAGTAGAGTTAAAAGGTGAGAAAATCTTGATGCCTATTATAGATATGCCTCTGACAGGTAAACATGGTCTGTTATACAGGTATACAATGCAAAATCAACAACATTTTTACTAAGAAGCCGGGGTTGACTTGTTTATTGACAATGAGTCGTTTTTAGATAAAACTCCAGCAACATCAGTTTTCTTCAGAATTAATTTTTCTATGTTAGCTTTTCATTTGTACCACAAAGAACGTCCATACTCAATTTAAATTCAAGAATGTTTGTTTTAAATTAGTGGTAAAAACTTCATCCTCATGAACCACACCTTAAAGAGAAGTTTTTTCTCTCTAAATTTTCCCCCGACTAAATATCTGTAACTAAACTCAAGTTGAGAATAAAATTCCATGGAGGTGAAATGTTAATTACTTTCGGGGAAGGCTTGTGGAAACTATGTCAACAAAGCTTCCTTCAATTCAGCACCTTTATTTTTCAACAAAATAAAAAAGTAGAAAAGAAACGCATATAAAATCATCTAAGGTTGAGTACCGCTGGACAAAATAGCCACACGATAAAAGCTTTTTCACTGAAGTTTAATGCTGACATTGGGCACTATGTACAGACTGATTTCCATGACGCCATCCTTATTGTGCTCACAAAACGCTGAAATAAAAAAAAAAAGGTAAAATATATTCAAATAAATATTACTGCGAAAGTACTATTCCATGGGTAAAAAAATGCTCAAAGTTGATTTTAAACAAAACTGCTTTTATTTTGTAGTTTTCTTCATAGCAGCGACTTTGCTGTATAATTTGGGGTCATTTTGTCTCGATAATACGCATTGATGTATACCTTAGGAAGGGTTTTAATAACTGAGCTTGATATTAATTTTTTTACACTCTTTTATATTTAACTCATAGGCGTCGGAAGCAAATTGAAAGTGGGGGGGGGCTAATTGGAAGTGGGTGGGGGGCTAAACCAACGAAAAAAGGTAAATTCCAATTTTCAATGCCTATATTATGTATATATTTGCAAAAAAAATGGGGGGGGCTAAGCCCCCCCGGTTCCGACGCCTATGTAACTTGACCGATGAGGGCATCAGATTTTGACATTTTTTAATGCTTACTTCAGTAATTGCTACTCCAACATTTTAAATATACAATGAAAAACATACCATGACGTTTACAATGGTCTTGGACCAATTGGAACAGGTACTGGTTGACCTAATGGAACGAGAGGGATGGTAATGACTCTAGGGCGACGATTAAACAGCGAGAACAAGCCACGTTTAGGAGGGAGAAGAATTATGGGTGGTGGTCGTATAATTGGCATTGGTACTGGACGCAGTCCGCTGAGGTTTCTTCTCATGTCGCCGCGGCCTGGCATGTAAGCGTTGTACGCAGGTTGACCAGGTCTTCTAGAGGACATGGCGCCTTGACCGAGCGTCATTCCGGTATTGGACGGGAGGCCGTCTAGACCTGAATCTCCAAAATTAGTATAGGTGACATCTCCAAGAGAACCTAATCCGCCTGTTGATCCAGAAAGTCCTAATCCGGTTTGTCCCAGACCTGTACCGGAGACATCTCCAAAACCAGAGTTCATGCCCATGGAATCCAGAGAAGTTGGGTGCTCGCCGAACATCATTGAGCCCGAGGGTGCTCCTAAGCCAGAGTTTGAGCCCATTGATCCCATAGAAGGGAGTCCCATATTTGTACCAGTGCTCTGACTAAATCCAGAATCCATGCCTAATCCAGTCTGCTGACCAAAACCAGAGTCCTGCTTAACGTCGCCAAAAGATGTTCCAAATCCACCGGTGGAATCCATAAGTATGTTCTGATTTGCAAGAGCACCGGAAAGACGGCCATCTAACCTCCGGCCACTATTGTTATCATAGATGCCTGCTCTTTGATAGTCTGGTGCATTTGGAACTGGTGGGGGGAAATCAAGATTTAAAGTGGAGGGAAGCTCTTGGGATCCACCCAGTGACGTTCTCTGACCATGGGTGATGGTTAAACAAAAAGCCAGAAACAGGATGCTTAAAGTGCTACGTAACATGTCAGCCGTTCATTAAAGAATATGCAGAAATGTTTATTGCAACCTTCTTATATACGGTGTCACGACAACTTGTACTTAATTACTTGGGATGACTGACTTTCTTTCTAACGGGTATTCAGCACTGTCAACCAATAGGTAAAAGTCCCTCTTTCGTCGACAGATATTTTCCTTCTGGGTAGACTTGCAAATGTTCATGCTAGAAAGTCCTACACCGATGCAAATTACTGTGGTTGGTTGGTCTGGTAAAGGTGTTGTATGGACAATATTTATTGACAGTAACACGTAAATCCAGTGTCTGTCGTCTGCAGGGATGACGGATGCACTTGACGGATGCACTTGGTGTTCATGCTTTTATAACTTTCCTTCACATATTTATTTGGAAATAACATTCGTAGTTGTTATTTTGGAAAGGGATTGTGATTTAAGTTTAAAATAAAGGAGGGAGATAGGGTGTAATAAATAAAAAAAACATGGGGATTTTATATTGCTATGTATGTTTATTCATCAATCAAGGACCCTCGTGGGGCAACTAAAATCATGATAATGACAAGTTATGGCTGCATGCATTAAAAAAATCACTTGCAAAAGTTCTCATCTAACAATTCAATTACTGGTAAGGTTCACACAATAAAATATAAGCACCACATACATTATACATGTACAAAATCGAATTTCTCTACAATTGAACAGAAAAGGGTTAAAGCACAAGGCTATCCATAGAAAGGCTTCATAAATCTGTAATGTGGTAGTCCTTTAGGTATTCCAAGAACGAGTGCTTCGGGTTTTACTGGGAAGAAAAACGTAGGTCCATTTCTAAATCTTATCCCACCAGGGTGAGGATATCGCGGTGTCAAGAGAAATCGGTGGAAGTCTTGTTTGAGAAAACTCAGGCTTTTGTTCTGGTTTGTGTTAACCTTTTTCCTTGTCTTCCTGTAAACTTTTCCATCATAATAAATGGCCTCTTTCTCACCTGGTCTTAACGGTCTTCGTTTCCTAAAACTTTCTTCAAAGACGATGCCATTATCCAAGGGAAAGTTGTCCATTGTGGGGTGAAGATATAGGCTGTTACTGGTCGGTCCATTAAAGCCGAAATTAGGTTCCAGTGGTTGGAACATTAGATTAGGATTGTTAATTGCAGTTGGCTGTCTTTGACTTTTGGCATTGTTGATAAGGAAATCTCTTTGAAAAGGAATACGGATAAAATTTTCCGGATTTTCGAAAGTCCCAGCAATATATGGAAAGCTGTGAGAAAAATCTCTTGGAAGCGTTTCTTTGCTGACAAATGGAATGTGTTGAATTGCTTGGCTTAGTCGAACCCTTGATTCCAAATTTGGACGAAGAATTTGCTGAGTCCCTGTCCGACCGTTTGAAAATATCCCTGGAAAGTTTGGCGGATCAAACATACCGTTTACATTTGTTAATACGTCCCCATCATTAAACGTGATAGGTGAATTTTGAAAGTTGAAAGGATTTTGATGCATGGAAGATCTTGGAAAATCCAATTTTTCATCCAAAAACACTTCACGAGAATTCAACAATATGGGGGGTTGCGCCCTCAGTTGATCATTTAAGGCATATGAAAGGAATCCTGGGTTTTCTCTGGATGCAAACCCAATGTCACTCATAAAATGGTCTCTGTCCCTCCTTGGAATCACAATCCTCTTCCTGGCGATAAGTTGCTTTTTTTCTGAATTCTTCTGGCTGTGCACTTTAAGATTGAAGACAATCAGTGCCATTAATATATAAACAATGAAATTGGAGTTGCCCATTCTATTACTCATTGGACATGCGAAGTGAATGTGTCCTACACACAGATGTAATTGATGCGTAAAACATATTGATCAATTTCTTTGGTCAAATGATCTATTTGATCACTATGGTCATTAATATATGTAGGAGTGTCAAGATGTATAATTAATATTTACAGGTGATAAGTGGTTGGTCGAAATATGTTTTGATTCTTATTATCCTGAATTTTTCTACACGGGCCAAACAACAAATATTACAAAAAGAGGACATTCACCGCATTCGTAATATTTTTGCTGGATGAAATCATTAACAAATAGTCTATGTTTTCGATCGAGACCACGATTCCCTCTTTCATTTGTATTTTAGGTTAAAAAAAAGATTATGACTTTATAAATTTGATCCATGAATTTACAAATTATACTTCTTCTCTTCCAGGTCCACTGCAGGGTTGTCCTTTACTTCCATTGCGATTTTAATTAAAAAAAAAAATATGCATACTGGTATATTGGGATTTCTATGTCTACGCATATAGATACAGGAGGTGTTATTTTGATGGATATGAAAAACAAGGGAAACAGATTAGGTCAATCTGGAACATGTACCGGTATAAATATATGACTCATCATACTAATGTGTATGAGATTTACATACCAGGTACTAATTAGTACATTGATGAAATAACTCGATTTTTTTCTTGCTTATTTTTTTTTTATTTATCTTTGTTAAGTGACTTTTGTCGTCAGTTTTTCTTGTCACGCTACCTTATGTCTCATTGGAAGTTTTGAAAAATGATGGCCTAGCTGATTTGTAATTATGTTGTGGTTAAAAACAAATTACTAGTATTTATATGAGGTCCGTTGTGACATTTACTGCCACTAAGTTATATCATCTACATGTATTCGAATAAGTAATATCATCTATTCAGCGTTTGAATTGGCGATATCACCTATTTAAATAGGTGGTGCCATTTTTTTCGAATAGATGATATCACTTATTTAAATAATGCATGAAATGACAACTACTATTCATGCACAGCATACATTTACTCCGTAAAAGGAAATAAAAAAATCAGTTTCTTTTTGCATTTATTTCTAGATCTATAGCAGAGAGAAAAAACCATTGCAAGTAAAATTTCACAACGTTCACAGAGATCGATATCATAATGTATGATACAACTGTAATGGTGTTTTAAAATGACTTGATCTGACTATTCACACGGGAAAAGGATAGCCCGGTTAGAGTCAATGAAAATTGGTTTTACATATTAAAGCAAGTTGGGTCAGTTTTCTTACAAACCGGTGTCCTCTTTCCCTCTCTGTGTTCAGAAATTATCATAAAGTAAAACTACAGTTTATTTTAATGCAGTGCCAAAAAATTTAGAAGTTACAGCCCAAAATTACAAAGAGTCCATAAAAACTATAATTATTATAATCTTCTTTTAAAAAGTTTGTTCAATTTAAGAATATAATGAAATCAAATTTAAATTTGAATCAATGTGAAGAAAATAAAACGACTCGATCTTTGAAAAACCCTTAAAATTCCATATTTAGATCACCTGAGTAAACTCAGGTGACCTATTGCTATCCATTTTCGTCCGTCGTCGTGCGTTAACATTTTAACGTTTTCAGTTTCTTCTCTGCGACCACTCATTCAGTTTCAACCAACGTTGGCATAAAGCATCTGTGGGAGAAGGGGGGGGATTGTGAATTTCCTGCCCTCCCCCCCCCCTCTCCAGGGGGCCTGAAGGATGGGACAAAAAGCACTTAAATTAATGCAATCTTTAAAAATCTTCTTTAATCCTGGACATTAAGCAGTAAAACTGTTGGCATGAATGTAATGAGCGTTGAGTCCTCTACCAAAATTATGAAATTCATGGCCCCAGGGTCAAGGGTCAAGGAGATGCTTGACCGCTTACGTCACAGAATGGGCGGAGCTTAATCTCAGTTTCATTCGTTGTTGTTCAAAATTGACGGACCTGAGGTTACATCACGGAAGACAGTACAAAATACTTGTATGTAAACAAAACAAATGAAAAAAAAAAACAAAACAAAAATTAAAATGAAAGGTATAATAAAACATTTATTGACTGAGTTCGAGGGCAACATGCGTTTTGTCGGACCCAAGAACCAAACTGTCTGCCTGAGGCCGGTCCTACAAAACGCATGTTGCCCTCGAACTCAGTCAATAGTTGAATCCACACTTTTCAAAAGTTATGTCCCTAAGCCGCCATCTTAGGGGATAAACCCATAGAATCCTCACAGTACCCTTTGTAGTTTTCAGGTTTGTAACTTTGTTATTTGACTGGGAAATATCGTTGCATAGTGTAATATTATACAAATTGCCCCATGTTGGGGCTACCCACACATCCAAAGAAACCAATTTAAACACGCTGAATTCATCAAATTCATCATAGCCCCCCATTTTTGGTACCATAAAGAGGGAAAATGTTTTATCTTTCTTTCCCTTGACCTTTTGTTTGACCCCGCAAAGGGAAACAACTTTTGTAAAGTGTGGATTTGTCTATAAATGTATAATATTTGGTCCTTTATTTCAATACGAGACAAGTCCAATAACTGCTTCATAAATATATATACATTGAAAACATTAAATTCAATTAACTCATTAGGTTGATATCATCGGATAATATTATTTTTATTTCTGATTATTATTTTTATTTTTTATTTATTATGTCAAATTCAAAGGAAAAAGACATGCTTGTAACTGATTTATGTTGTAAATAAAAGTTAAAAAGAGGGAATTACAATATTTGTTTAATTTTAAACCTCGTTGTTTTCTGTATTTACCTGTTTAAATATCACTAAAAATAACGTTCATTAATAGAGTTACTTCCCGTTTTTGTGACGTCATTCGAGACACTCGACGGAATTTAGTAGTATATAATATAATATAATATATAAGTATAGTATATAACTACTCTTGATTATCTGAAAGAATGGTAAATTTTAGGGAACATAAATGTTGATATACCAGGGTTACGTATAGATCTTTCAATTAAGAATAGCTAGGCTTTGTATGTTTGAGCCAATCAAGGAAAAGCCGGTAAGAGTGAAAGTGGAAATGAAAATCATACAAAGTTCTGACCAAGTATCATCTCAGAACCTAGCGAATATACACAACTGATATTTAATCGCTTTTACTCAATCTCTTAATATTACCTCAGAGATGTTTACAAAAAAATGATTTTAAGTATTGCTCCTTATTCATCATACATAGATGGGACCAAGACTTTCACTCGTGAAAAATTATAGAATTCTTTTCTAGAT